CTGGTGATCAACTTCGGCTAGAGGACCCTGCCTGTAGTATGGTTCAGTGTCAAACACTGGGTCTTCTTGCTCGCTCTCGATGATCATGTTGTGCAAGATGACACAGCAAGTCATAATCTCCCACATTTGATCTTTCGACCAGGTCTGAGTGGGGTACCGGACAACAGCAAATCGAGATTGGAGCACACCAAATGCCCACTCGACATCCTTCCTGCAAGCCTCCTGAACCTTCGCAAACCAGGCGTTCTTGCCTCCTGGCACAGGGTTTGAGATCGTCTTCACAAATGTCGACCATCTCGGATAGATGCCATCAGCTAGATAGTACACCTTGTTGTAGTGTCGCCCATTGATCTCGAAGTTCACCGGAGGAGAATGACCTTCAACAAGCTTGGCAAAGACAGGAGAGCACTGCAGCACGTTGATGTCATTGTGAGTTCCTGGCATACCAAAGAAGGAGTGCCAAATCCAGAGGTCATGTGTGGCCACCGCCTCAAGCACCACACTGCAACTGCCTTTGGCACCTTTGTACATCCCCTGCCAAGCAAATGGGCAATTCTTTCATTTCTGATGCATGCAGTCGATGCTTCCAAGCATCCCAGGAAATCCTCTTGCTGCATTCTGTGCTAGGATCCGAGCAGTGTCTTCCGCATTGGGTGTTCTCAAGTATTGTGGTCCAAACACTACCACCACTGCCCGACAGAACTTGTAGAAACACTCTATGCTGGTGGACTCGGCCATGCGCCCATAGTCGTCGAGTGAATCACCGGGAGCTCCATATGCAAGCATCCTCATCGCTATCGTGCACTTCTGGATGGAGGTGAATCCAAGAGCGTCGGTGCAATCCATCTTGCACTTGAAGTAGTTGTCGAACTCCCGGATGGAATTCACAATCCTGAGGAAGAGCTTTCGGCTCATCCGATAACGGCGCCGAAATGTTTTCTCGCCGTGGAGTGGAGCATCAGTGAAGTAGTCGGAGTAGAGCATGCAGTAGCCTTCGAGACGATGTCGGTTCTTTGCTTTCACCCGCCCAGGCGCCGAGCCACCTCGCCGCGACTTTTCATTGCTCGCCAGCAGCTGGGCGAGGGCGGCGAGCACCATGAGATGCTCTTCTTCCTGGACGTCGGCCTCAGCTTCCTCCTCCAGCAGCGCGGCGAGCGCTTCCTCGTCATCCGAGTCCATCGCCGAGGCAGCCAAATCCCCGAACACCTTGCGCTCGGTGGGCGTGTACCCGCCGCTAAACTGCGCCTCCGCGGCCGGAAACGGCGGCCGGAAACGCCCAGCTGCTGTTCGAAGGGCTGCCGCGGCGAAGCGCTGCTATTTTTCCGACGGGGAATGGCTATCTAGCGGTGTAGGGCGGCGGGCGGCACCGGGATATAGCTACTGATGGACGAGGGCGCGGGGGTGGTAGGCGAGTCGGGGAAGAAAACCTTGACTTTTCCCCTGACGGTGTGGGCCAGCCACGCTTTTCCCTTATCAACTTACCATCGGGAACATCAGACGATCACCTCAGGATCAACCAAGCTCGGTACCAACAATACCATCTTGATCATCACATGACCACAAGGAGCTCGATCTTCACCCGTGATCATCGCATGATCAACCATCATCACTATCATCAATACCACCGGGATCATCTCATGACCACATAAAGATCAACCAACGTCTTTCCTCATTGAACTGGGGTTGTTTATTAGTCATGTTATTATTACTGTTGAGCCATAGTGTGACCTACTACGAACTGGGCCCATAACCGAGGGTGCGGCTATTGATAGATTATACACTCCACAGAGGTTAGTACACTGTACCCGCACCACTGAATTCATGGCCTCATGCTCCCATTCGGGTGGGCCAACAACATTCCGAGAAAACCAATCTATTGCATGACACTCTCCCGGCCACTCCGACAAACTCCCCTTTGGGCTATGTCATGGGTGGCCCGATGTCATCATGTGACATTCGCCATCTATGTCGCCGGCCACCGTCGTGGCAAAACAAAACAAAACAGTCCCAAACAGGGACAATGGATCCATACAACTCGGGCGCACAAGGTTATCGCTGCCTACCGCGCCAACGTAGCACGCACACATAATCTTCTCTAGTCGGAGGAACCGGCGAGAGGCATGAAAATAGATCGAATTAGGCCCTCCCCCTAAGGCAAGTGTGGCTGCACTGATCAGCTCGGCTCGATGGCACTATGACTCAGCCAACAAATTTATTCAAGTTTGATTAAAGTTCGGTTTAACTTGAATGGTGATGAGCTGAGCCATAATAAAATAGCATGATGAAATGACAATGCATATGAGTATGATATCAACATAAACATGGATGGACAAGATCAGATAACATATGAATATTAACATCAACAACAATAATTCATTGAGGCTACTCGATGCGAATGAGCATAGCATAGTGATGACCATGAATCTTACAATTATAACAAACGATAACTATGCATGTGAGCATATCATTATCACTAGCATAGAAAGTACATACAAGAACTAAACATGAGAACCTCGATTAAAAGGAAACCGAGCTAAAACCGTGACAACTGAAGTCACCTAGCTAGACTATGCGTGACGCACTACTGAACATTGCCGATGCACCGGCAAGATGGACAAAGCACGATACAAACATGCAAAACATGCATGTCCAAAAAGGAAAAAGGAAAACATTACTTCCTCTGTCTGAAAAAGCTTGTCCTTGTCCCTCGAATGAATGTATCTAGCACATATATTCATTTGAGAGACAAGTTTTGTTTTTAATGTTGGTAGTTGTTCTACCAAATTCATTGATCGGAAGAAAGAAGGTTGGTCCAGTTTATGAGGAAAACCGGACCCCAAAAACGATACAAACAGCGCCTTTCGGCCAACAACACACACATCCTCACACGCCACGGGTCCCTCTGACCGGATCCATCTCCAGGACGATGCCCCCAAGAGAGAACGCAATGCCGAATGGCGCCGCCATCGTCCGATCTAAACTAGATCAAGGATTTCCCCCGGAGCACGTCGGGAAAGGCAAGGTAAGAGCAACTCCATCGATGCCTCAAACGAGGGAGCGACGCCCGAAAGCGCCGCCATCGACGACTCCGGCCGCTACCAGAGTACGACTTTCGCCAACAGTCTCACCTGCATAGCCCGAACCCAGGATCCGATCAGCCTACACATCGAACCACTATCCCTGCCTCCATGGCCAACAGCACCTTCCCGGCGAGCTCGACGTGCTTCCAACCTTGCATCCACATCCCCCACTGGACGAAGGATGCAACCCCTAGCGGCGCCATTCGTCTCCCATCGGAAGGATGCAACCAAGCACAATGTCATTCGTCTCCCCGAGAGTGCAACGCCTGCCGGCCATTCCTCTCCCGACGAAGGATGCAACAACCGCAGCGAAGGCCATTCCTCTCCCTCTAGCCACCACCATCTCGTCCTCCCACCCGAAGCAGCGTCGAGCTCAGCAAACCACCAAACAGGAGGATGCAACACCAGGCGAGGTGCCATTCACTCCTACAACCCCACTCGCACGGCCAGCAGAAACCCAGATCGAGCCCTACTGCCTATGGAAACTCACGCCTCCGGCAGATCCGGCGCCTCCATGGTCACCTCCTCGAGTAGATCAGTTCCTGACACGCAGAGAGGAGGAAGACAAACCGGCCGCCCGCCCGCTGGGCCGTCGTGCGAAGAACCACCGGCCGCCGAAGACAACCGGCCGCCACCCAACAGATCCGCCTTCCACGCCCCGCGTGTCGCAAATCCGCGCTAGGAGCAGTGCCTGGGCACCCTGCCCACGCGCCACCCCGGATCTGATGACAACCACCACGCGCCCACCAGCCGCACACCTCGCGTGTCCACCACGCCCTCCCACGCCCCGCGCTCCTCGCCATCCGGCAGCGCCTCACGCGCCAAGGCCGCGCACGCCCGCGCCCGAACGAGGCCACGCACGTCCGCTCCTTGCCCATGCCGCGCACGCCCACGCCTGCGACTGGTTGGGGCCGCGCACATCCACTCCTCGCCCGGGCCACGCACGCCCACGCCGCGAACCTCCACGCCCACAGGCCGCACTCCCACCACCGTGTGCGCCGCAAAAGGCCGACGCGCCCCGCATCTCCAAAGGTGAGCTGCCCCCGCATTGCTCATGGTCCTTGTGAGATGGAACATGCCCCACCGCCACCGACGTCGCACGGGCTTTGCCTGGCGGCGCCCTCCGGCAGCAGCAAGGTAAGGGGTGGTCTGGGGAGGGGGGGAGGCGATTTAAGGTTTCTCCCGGGTCGCTGCGGGAAGCGACACGGGAGCTAGTGGGGACTGCTCTTCCGCACGCTCGGGTTTGGAATAGGGACAAGCTTTTTTGAATGGAGGGAGTAAAACACACCCCATCCCAGACGCGTAATCATCCATGGACGGAAGACGGTACATGAGGAAATGGTTAGACGTGGCCACTTCACGGCTGGGATTACGAGTGCACCAAAATGAAGAGTTTTCAGAGCACTAATTCCAAGATTCTTAGACCAAAGTGAGGCACTGCTGCAATTTACTCGGGCTCCTGGACATACCCAGACCTGCAACGTTTTTTTCAAGGGGTTCTCCTGCCGTTGGAAAAAACGGACAGAGGATCCACTGATTGCTGAAATACAAACTCACTCGGAAAGGTGAAATGGCAAGGTGGGTCAAAAATCAAATATGCGATTCCAGCCGTGATTGCTGTCGCGCGGTGCAGACTACAGGGTGAAAGTACTGAGAAGAACAAAGGTATACATACATTATATAAAACTTGCATTTTTCTAGACCTGTAAACAGCATGATATTGCAAATCTCTTCTTTTTTTGAACTACATTGCAAATCTCTTTTACAAGCAATAGTAACCTGAAATCCTAAAGGCTTCCTCATTTAAAACCTGGGCAAGCTTCAGTGCAAGTGCGGTGATCTTCACATTGCCTCTCATGTATTTACGAACTCTGTAAGGAGCATTCGTCTGTACCAGCCTGGTACCAGGGCTGCTCTGCTCTAATGGATAGGATGGTACTGCGTGATCCCACGTTTTGGGGGCAGTTTCCTTAGTATAAACAGAACCATAGCTGAAGGTACGATCTCGACCAGCTGCAAGCCAATTTGGTGAATCCGGTCAGCAATCACAAAGTAATTCAGTTACTCTTAAGGAACAGCTACAAAGCATGCCAATGTATATATCACTAAAATAATCAAGAGACAACTAAAGCTGCGCAAGTGATATCCCTGAAGCGCTGCAAGAAGATTTAACTTTTGCGCTTTCTATTTAAAAGTATAAGTCGATGCCCCGATTATCCCTTTTAACTGGCTTGCTCTCTCCACAAGCGCCCTGGGGCCTGAGTGATACCTTTTTCGTTTAACTTTCTGCTTTCGGATTCGTGTCCAAGCACGCCAAAGTCGCTAGAATTAAGTTATGGAAGCTCGGATATACCTGGTGGTGATACGATGATGTCCAGAAGGCTATTAAGGAGAAGACTGTTTCAGACGCCTATAATTGGATAGGAGTGCATACAACACCGCAAAGTGAGCTGTGAGTGAAGCCAGGGGTCAGGCATATGAGGACAGCTGCCAGTGTTTAAACACAAAGGAAGGTGAAAGGGACATCTATAAGATGGCCAAGATCTGAGGGAGGAAAACGAGGGATATCAACCAAGTCAAATGCATCAAGGATGGAGCAGATCGACTTCTAGTGAAGGACGAGGAAATCAAGCATAGACGGTGAGAGTACTTCGACAAGCTGTTCAATGGAGAGAATGAGAGCTCTACCATTGAGCATTTTGTGTGTTTTGTGCGACCAATCCAGGAGTCTAAGGTCAGGGAGGCTCTAAAAAGGATGAAAAGAGGCAAGGCGATGGGCCCTGATTGTATCCCCATTGAGGTGTGGAGAGGTCTCGGAGATATAGCGATAGTATGGCTAAGTAAGCTTTTCAACCTCATATTTCGGGCAAACAAGATGCCCGAAGAATGGAGGCAGAATACATTAGTACCAATCTTCAAGAACAAGGGGGTGTTCAAAGTTGTACTCCCTCCATTCACAAATACAAGATGTTTTGGATATTTCAATATAGACTACATACGGACTGAAATGAGTGAACAAACACACTAAAATGTGTCTATATACATCCGATTCGGAAGGAAGTTAGAACATCTTATATTTGTGAACAGAGAGGGTACTAATTAGTAATTACTGTGGAATTAAGCTGATGAGCCATACAATGAAGCTATGGGAGAGAGTCATTGAGCACCGCTTAAGAAGAATGACAAGCATGACAAAAGATCAGTTTGGTTTCATGCCTGGGAGGTCGACCATGGAAGCCATTTTCTTGGTACAACAACTTATATAGGGAGCAAAAGGACCTGCATATGGTGTTCATTGACTTGGAGAAGGCCTACGATAAGATACTGCAGAATGTCATGTGATGGACCTTGGAGAAACACAAAGTCCCAACAAAGTACATTACCCTCATCAAGGATATGTAAGATAATGTTGTGACAAGTGATGGCGACACTGACGATTTTCCAATTAAAATAGGACTGCACCAAGGGTCAGCTTTGAGCCCTTATCTTTTTGCTTTGGTGATGGATGAGGTCACAAGGAATATACAAGGAGATATCCCATGGTGTGTGCTCTTTGCAGATGATGTGGTGCTAGTCGACAATAGTCGGACGAGGGTTAATAGAAAGTTAGATTGGCGGAGATAGACTTTGCAATTGGAAGGTTTTAGGCTTAGTGGAACTAAAATAGAGTACATGAGGTGCGGTTTCAGTACTACTAGGCACGAGGAGGGGGAAGTTAGCCTTGGTGGGCAGGTGATACCCCAGGAGCACACCTTTCGATATCTGGGAAACTGGGATCAATGCCGCAAAAGGATGGTGATATCAATGAAGATGTGAGCCATCGAATCAAAGCTGGATGGATGAAGTGGCGCCAAGCTTCTGACGTCCTCTATGACAAGAGAATACCACAAAAGCTATGATGTTGTATGGCACTGAATGTTGGCCAACTGAAAGTGAAAGGCGACATGTCCAACAGTCAGGTGTAGCAGAGATGAGCATGTTGAGATGTATATGTGGCCACACAAGAAAGGATCGGATCCAGAATGAGGATATATGTGATAAGTTGGGGTAGCACCGATTGAAGAGAAGCTTGTCCGGCATCGCCTGAGATGGTTCGGGCATATACAACGCAGGCCTCCAGAACCGCCAATGCATAGCGGATGGTCAAAGCGCACTCATAATGTCGAGGTCAGGGTAGACCAAACTTTACATGGGAGGAGTCCGTTAAGATAGATCTGAAGGACTGAAATATCACCAGAGAACTAGCCATGCCATGGACAGGAGTGCGTGGAAGTTAGCTATCCATGTGACAGAACCATGAGCTGGTTTCGAGATCTTATGGGTTTCAACTCTAGCCTACCCGAACTTGCTTGGGACCTGGCTTTGTTGTTGTTGTCTGTTTATAACACTTAGATTACATTGGCATGCATATCCATGTTCTTGATACTGGAAGTTAATGATGGAATTCCTGAGGTGGACCATGGATCTATCACCTATGTCATCTGAAGACAAACCTAACTAACCTCGATACCTACAACTTGTCTGTCTACTCATAAAGCTATTTGCATTCAAGAAACCCTGAAATCTGGCAACACATAGCCCATGAAATTAACATTAGGCTCAACACTGCTAAAAGTATTGGGATGTCTTGGTATGTGCCAGACTACATTTTTCTAATTGTATGTACTTACAGTGGTGATTATCAGTATTATCTCAATGTCTCAATACTGGTTTATCATAGCAAAATACACATCACAATTCAAGTCAAATTGCATAAGATGATGCTCGACATTGTAAAAATGAGACAACATAACTAAATGGAGGCATACCAGGTAATAAAAGAAATTCAGAATCGGATGGCTCAGAACATCAAGATCAGCTGCTTTATCAAATGCATTGAGACACATCTGGAAATTACATGCTTAAGTTAGTAGATTCCTCTAACTGACCTACCTAAGTTGGTGGTAGAATAGCGTAGATCAAAGTAATTGCAAGCACTTTTTGTGAGGGATTTACAAGCACTTACCATGACACATCTGATCAAGAAACAAGTAAAGCAGATGGTAGTGACATAGCCAACCTGCAAGAGGGGATACGTCATTACCATATAGTTGTCATAGACAAGCCTCCTAAACTATGGTTAATATAAACAAGCCTCCAAAAGTAAGACTACTATAGACACTCCAAGACTAGCACTAGTATAGACAAGCCTCCAAAAGTAAGACTAATGGAACACGAAGTATACCTCCTGCAATTTCTTCCGTCTTCCTTTTGATTCTACGGGAAAACGTTGCAACATGAGGAATAGCCTGCAGCAATGGGTAGTATCGAATACTGTATCAGTCCATAAAATGTTACTGCTAGCCATAGTGCATACATTCTATCTCTTATTGTACTTTCTGCGCCCTAGTATGGTACAGAGCACATATATGACATATCCTGGTAATGCAAGCACAATGGTTGTTATCGGTTGGAAAGAGTTGTCCGGATTTTTACTGGTAAATCAATCCAGTTCACCATGGGACTAATAAGATTATACAGGTAGCAGTAGTAGTATCATGGTGGCGCAAGCATAGATGATACAGAGTGGAAAGAACAGGTCTAGATTCTTCGGTACTGAATATGTCCGGTCTAGCATTGCAGAAAGCTACAGTTTATTAAAAGCATTACCTCCCACCATACAGAAGGAACCCAAAAGCTGCAAACAGTGATACGCCTGAAAAGTCATAGCATAATTAGCTGAAAAGATCAAGGTGTCAACAACCCACAGTAGATTATCCAATAATGTGCTTCACAGTTTCTCGAATTAAATAATACTGTAGTAGCTGAAAACTAGCACTGCAAAAAATGTCAAGACAGATGCATCCATGGACACTGCAATTTACATTGAATTGGAACACATGCCCACCACCCGCCCCCGCATTCACACACACACAGCAAATGAAGCAAGTATTTTACCTGCAAAGAACATCTTGGACAATATGACCATGATTCGAACTGGTTTCCACCACAAAACCAACCACAGAATTATCTGAAATTTGAAATTCATGCGTATTAGAACATCTCATGGGTGTGCATACTGCAAAATCTTCCTAATTTGCATGTGTCAATTGAACAGTCATAAATGCAACATAGAGCATGATCATATTTCCTTACTGAGTGATACTCCCTCCGACCGAGAAAGCTTGTCCCTCAAATGGATGTATCTAGCACCAAGTTAGTGCTAGATACATCCATTTGAGGAATAAGTTTGGGACAAGCTTTTTCGGACGGAGGGAGTACTAGTTAAGGAGGTTGTTTCGATGTCGGTTCTCTAAACAATAGGACACATTGGACATCTCGGTGCAATCAAGACATCAAAGAATCAACTATAGCTTGTACTTGATATTTCAGGATACTGGATACCATTGTTTAATTTCTATAAAGCATATAGGCAATCAAGAGCAAACAAAACAAGTGCGGCGTTTTATACAACGGGCTCTAGGGAGCCTGTTTTCGGAGAAAAAAAATCAAGATATATTTAGAAGTTATTTTTTTCTATAAATACATATACATGTTCTCTATGTATCTGTAAACTTACATTAAATAATACAATTATTTGCAGGCTACACAAGAAGACAAAAAACTGGCCCAAATACAACAAAGAAAAGGCCATTTTAATCTCTGTATTTGTCTTTTTGTGTACATCACATATTAACATGTATGTTCGTGAAATTTTGTATGTATATACTACTACACATATATGCTTATGTGTATACTTTTTCAGATTTATTTTTTTTAGATTTTGAAAATGTATTTTGGCTGAAAAAAAATAACAAGCTCCCTGGAACCCGGCCATCATATGCACTTTCGAAACAGAACAGAATATATTATCTTGCAAAAAAGGAACACATTAAATATGTATAATTATCGCTTATGGTCATAGCAACAAAACAGATACAATGCTAATTTGATTGGTCGTAGCTACATGGGTCCCACTCCTAGGCATCTAAAGCAATTTGGAAGCATCACAGGCTCACAGGTACTAAGACGTGGTTAATGTACAGATATTCACCCCTACATGCCATCGTAACATAATCTTTCCATCATTTATCTTTCCAGGCAGACATCAGAGCAAAGTTTCACACATGAGCTTAACTGAATCAAGTCATGTATGTTATAGTGTAATGAGAAATTTCATGGACTAAGTTACCTGAATTGCATACACCACCCCATTGATCCAATAGAAAGTTGGCCTCAGCCCATCAGTCGACATCGCACGTGCCTAGCAAACAACTTCACAAATTAACAGATGCAACGACAGTGAGGGAACACCAGAAAGAAACTATGAAATGCAAGCCGGTCTACCACCTGATAGTAAATCTCGGCCCAGAATAGCACCAAAAGCGCGTATGTAGTGAAGAACGCAAGCCCAGGCATGTCAAGAACCACATGTTGAAGTATCTGTGATGCCACATTGCTTAAACCATTACCCCCAATCAACTGAAACACCAATATAATCATCAAATCAAGCACAAACCTCTGGTTGTATCAGCTGCACGTTTCGCCGCAGCACAAATACGATAGCCCGCACTGCAAACACAACTAGAAGGATCAAGCAACCAAACGCAAGCAAGGCGAACCAATGAAACAGCGCAAACGTGCGACCCACCGCCATTCACGATGAAGTTAAGGAAATGGAACACCTTCTGCGTCGTCCACCCGTACTCGGGCACCCTACACTCGATTCTGATCAATTGGACCTACAATAGATATCGAGGTCCACAAATTCAAACCTTGATTTACAACAATCATGGCCCCGCCTCACGATTCGTTGCCGAATCACCAATTTTGAAATCAAGCACGCACGGATCAAGCCAACCCGCGCAATCGAGGGCACGGGCTCACGTAATCACAGAATCCGGGCCAGGGCGTGACAGATCGGAAGGCGTTTCGGGTCAGGCCGTAGGGCAGACTTACAAGCGCGACGACGGAGACGATGCCGTAGAGCACGGCGAGGGCGTGGAAGATGCGGTCCTGCCACATCGGCGAGTCGTTCACGTCTTTCCACCAGTCCACCGCGCCGTTCAGCGCCGCCGCGGCCGCGGCCGACGAGGCCGCCGCGGCGTCCACCGCAAACAACCGCCCCATCCCGCGCGCCTCCCGTGGCGACAACGAGGCCAGGCGGCGCCGCCCTGCAGATTCGAAGGGGGCGGATGGCGACGGGGCGGGCGGAGAGGGAAGGCGACGCGAGCTCGTCCCCAGGGGATTCGAAACCGAAATGAAATGGATTGATTTGGGACTTCGGTTTCGTTCGCGTTGCGTGGAGGCCGGGTGAAGGAGAAAGAAGGTTCGAGGCGAGCCTCTCCTCCGGCTTCGTGTTCCGCGGGTGGGTGGTCAGGGTGACCGGGCGGTGAGCCGATGCAGGGTAGGCGGATGAGAACACGTGGACAGCCAGCGCCTCCGTCCCTGGAGCTGGTCCGTGGTGGAACACACGAGCGAGGGGGCAGGACGGGGCGGCCGGTGTATGGACCTAGCGCAGTGGTCGTCTATCGGAAGCGGGCCTTGGTCCAGCACGGCGCGCCGGTTGAATGAGGTGGCACGGTGGGACAGTGCATGGGTTGTACAATCCCGATCTCCTTTTGGCTTTGACCGTGTTCTGTGCTTACGTTGAGCGAGTCATCAGTAGGCAGAAGATGACATGGTATTGTCGACATACTAATAAATACTGATAACGAAACATCTAGAGTATCCTTTATGCATCAGGTCCGAGTCCGACTATGTCACGTCTAGATCTCTATGTTTAGTGGAGCAGTTAGTAGTCTCCGTTTTGATTTTTTTGCCACGTAGCGATGCCCCCTCAGACGAAAAAAAGAACGAACCGGGAGTGAGGCCCCCTCGCATCCCCACCCGCTCGTGCCTCCCTCCCCTTCATCTCTTCCTCCCGAGTCTCGACCCTGGGCTAGGTTTCCATACGCCGCTGCCGGTGTCTCGCCCCCTCACCACATATGCATCTCTCCTTTTCATCCCCGCGTGAGACCGAAACCTACTCACGCCTCTCCTTGTTCCCCCCACGCCATTGCAGTCCCAACCACAAACACCGACGCCGGCGGTCGCCGTCACGTTGCCTGCCATCCATGCCTCGCAGTCGTCACAGTCGGTGCTACCCCACAGAATGAGCGCCGAGGAGAAACACCGCCATGGAGGGTTTCAAGCAGAAACTGTGGTGTCTCTTCCCCAAGTTGTCGGCCTTCCCTTCCTTCTGTAGGTCGCCGCCAGCCCCGCCTCAGTGCGCCGGCCTCGCCCAGGTTGTCGGCCTCCCCTTCCTTCCGTAGGCCGCCGCCAGCCCCGCCTCAGTGCGCCGGCCTCGCCCAGGTTGCCGGTCTCCTCGCCCATGGCCCTGCTACATCAATCACAAGGTAAAGAACTTTGCCTCTACTCTGAACATGAGTTCGCTCATAATTCATCACAAGGTAAGCTTTGGCAGTATGGGTTGATGTATGGATCCCACATTTGTACTACTGTCATGGAGGGTATTCGTTTTGAGATTGATGATTGGTGAATTGAACAACTGTCATGGACTGGTGTATTGTAACTTTGTAATTGAACTACTGTCATGCCCTGTTAAATTGGTGTATGGACTTGTTTAGATGAAATTAGACAGTATTGGGACCCAACAAGGGAAGCTTGTAAATGCATCTTTGAGTGTAAATTTGAAACCAATAAGAGAAGCTTTGTTTCCTAACCAATTCATGCCGTCATAGACTTAACTTGAATTGTTGATTTGCTGGCTCCTGCCATATGATATCAATTGTCACGTATATGTTAATTTGATGCCTGACTATATGTTTATTTTTTATTAAATTATGATGAAATGCTAAATGGGACTTAGCACCCTATATTTGCGCTATGGTGTTTCAAACCTTTTGGCCGAGCCGACACTAAGAAGCTTAGCGCGCTATTTAGAACTTTGGGTGTTTGTACCATTGTTCTACCGTTGCCAACTACCTCGATCAATTCTTGTGCGTTCATGAGGTGACTGGTGGCGGAGGACTAGGAGGAGACTGCGGCGACGTGTTCTTCCCTTCCCTGTCCGCGAGAGCAGTTCATCCCCATCGCCAGACCAGATCAACTCCTCCTGCAATGTCCAATCTTGTCATCCACACGACGACAGCGGTAGCGTGATGACCGGGCATCTGCAACATCAACAACGCAACTACCCATTGAGCTATTCCTCCTATCCATCTCCCTCTCTTCAATATTATATGATTCTTGTTACTTTGTGCATGTGTCTGCATTTTTGTGCCATTTAGTGTTCTTGTGTATCTTGATGTTCGGACAATGATGTAACAACTCATAGGTTTGGAAGGCCAGGAAAGAAGGCGTAGTTATAGAAGACACTTTATTATAAAGCTTGTGTAAGACCAACTACAGTCTGAATGAACTGCTGAGGGCCCTATTATGCACCACCACTCCGCTAGGGAGTTGTTTGACGAAGTGTCGCAGAGGGTTGTTTGATCAAATGACGGACATGGATTTGGTGGGCTTGAACTCCACCATCGACGTTGGTGGACTTGGATCGATCTTCCATTGCTCATGGTGGGGGCAGCCAGCACGAGTCTCCGATCACCGCTGGCACATGGGCCTCGCACAGTGACATTGAAGCTCTAGACGACGAGGTGTGTTTGCTCTCTTTAACCTTGAGTCAATCACCATGATTTTGATGGAAATATGCCCTAGAGGCAATAATAAAATGGTTATTATTATATTTCATTAATCATGATAAAAGTTTATTATTCATGCTAGAATTGTATTGACTGGAAACTTAAATACATGTGTGTATACATAAACAAATATTGTGTCCCTAGTGAGCCTCTACTAGACTAGCTCGTTGATCAAAAGATGGTTAAGGTTTTCTAACCATAGACATGAGTTGTGATTTGATAATGGGATCACATCATTAGGAGAATGATGTGATGGACAAGACACATCTGTTAGCTTAGCATACGATCGTTCAGTTTATTGCTATTGCTTTCTTAAATGTCAAATGCATATTCCTTTGACTATGAGATCATGCAACTCCCGGATACCGAAGGAATGCCTTGTGTGCTATCAAATGTCACAACGTAACTGGGTGATCATAAAGATGCTCTACAGGTATCTCCGAAGGTATTTGTTGAGTTGGCATAGATCAAGATTAGGATTTGTCACTCTAAGTATCGGAGACGTATCTCTGGGCCTCTCGATAATACACATCATAAGAAGCCTTGCAAGCAAAGTGATTAAGGAGTTAGTTATGAGATGATTTATTATGGAATGAGTAAAGAGACTTGCTGGTAACAAGATTGAACTAGGTATGAAGATACCGACAATCGAATCTCGGGCAAGTAACATACTGATGAACAAAGGGAATAATGTATGTTGTCATAAGGTTCGACCGATAAAGATCTTCATAGAATATGTAGGAGCCAATATGGGAATCCAGGTTCCGCTATTGGTTATTGACCGGAAAGGTGTCTCGGTCATGTTTGCATAGTTCTCGAGCCCATAGGGTCCGCACGCTTAACGTTTGTTGATGATATAGTGTTATATGAGTTATATGATTTGGTGACCGAATGTTGTTCGGAGTCCCGGATGAGATCACAGACGTGACGAGAAGGTCCGGAATGGTCTAGAGGTAAAGATTGATATATAGGACGATACTATTTGGACACCGGAAGAGTTTTTGGGGAGTACCGGGTAGTCATCGGGTCACTGAAAGGGGTTCCGGTAAGCCCCGGGAGGTCTATGGGCCATATGGGCCAAGAGAAGGGAGCACACCAGCCCACAAGGGGCTGGTGCGCCCCTCTATGGCAGTTGGCCCTAGGGGAGAGAAGGAAAGAGGGGAATAGGTCTCCTCCTTCCTTCCCTCTCCTCCTCTTTCCTTTCCCCTTAAGGGAATTATAGCATGGGGGTGCAAGCCAGGGCAGGAGCCCTAGGGCTGGCCGGCCACCTTTGTGGTGCGCCTGGCTGCCTCCCTTCTCCACCCCACCTATATATACATGGGGAGGGTGTTGGGGAACGTAGTAATTTCAAAATTTTCCTATGCACACGCAGGATCATGGTGATGCATAGCAACGAGAGGGGAGAGTGTTGTCTACGTACCCTCGTAGACCGTAAGCGGAAGCGTTTATCAACGCGGTTGATGTAGTCGCACACCTTCACGATCTGTCCCGATCAAGTATCGAACGTACGGCACCTCCGCATTCAGCACACGTTCAGCTCGATGACGTCCTCGTCTTCTCGATCCAGCAAGAGGGGCGAAGTAGTAGATGAGTTCCGGCAGCACAACGACGTGGTGACGGTGTTGGTGAATAACAATCTCCACAGGGCTTCGCCTAAGCACTACGAAAACTATGACGGAGGATAAACTAGAGGGGACGGGGTAGCCGGCACACGGCTTGGTGTTTCTTAATCTGTCTTGGGTGCTAGCCATACCCCTCTATTTATATGTTGAGCCTTGGGGTCAAAACTTGGAGTAGAAGCCTCCACAAAGTCGGTTTCACCCGAAAGGCAAGAGTCCTTTTCGGACTCCAGGGCCAGACGCCAGGGTTCCCGACGTCTGGACCCAGATGCCAGGGACCCTGGCGTCTGGCCCCTGGACTTCGCAAAACTTCCTTTTGCGCTTTTCAAAAACCTTATGGGCTTTCCCCTTTGGCCCAAATAAAGTGTTCTCGTACCCAAACATTTCGGGAAACATCCGGAACCCCTTCCGGTGAATTCCGGAACCCTTCCGGTGACCAAACACTATTATCCCTTATATCAAACTTTAACTCCGGACCATTCCGGAGTTCCTCGTCATGTCCGTGATCTCATCCCGGACTCCGAACAACATTCGGTCACCAACATACATAACTCATATAGTACTATATCGTCAACGAACGTTAAGCGTGCGGACCCTACGGGTTCAAGAACTATGTAGACATGACCGAGACACCTCTCTGGTCAATAACCAATAGCGGAACCTGGATGCTCATATTGGCTCCTACATATTCTACAAAGATCTTTATCGGTCGGACTGCATAACAACATACGTTGTTCCCTTTGTCATCGGTATGTTACTTGCCCGAGATTCGATCGTCGGTATCTCAATACCTAGTTCAATATCGTTA